CGAAGAGTCGGACATGACTGAGCGACTTCACTTTCACTTTTCACTTTTATGCATTGGAGAAGGAAATGGCAACCCACTCCAGTGTTCTTGCCTGGAGAATCCCAGGGACGGGGTCGCACAGAGTCGGACACGACTGAAGTGACTTAACAGCAGTAGCAGCAGTGCTGATTTTTAAATAACCTTTCAAGGTGAGTTGTTTTGATAAGTTTTGTCAACCTCCTGTGATTGTGCACTTTGTTTCTAGAAGAATCTTTTACTCAAGTGTTTCATCAGTCTTAACTCCGACCTCATGGAAATGGAATGATGTCATGTTGAATACTGAGGCTGTTTGTGGTGCTTTTGTTTTATATTTGTGGGGGAAGTATACACGTTGTAGGCAAGAGGTGATTCATCTTTTTGTCCTCCACAAACATCCTTTGGTCAATGCGTTATTGGGTTTTAGAACTGAGACTCGAACTTTAGCTCATTAAAACCCCCAAGTCCCCGGCAATAAAGTTGAAGTGGCTTCACCCCCGGATTTATTTCAAAATGATTCCATTTGGAGGAAGGAAAGAGCAAGTAATGCATTATATAGAAAGCTCTAATCAATAATTCATGAGACCTGTAGACCAGTGATGCTTCCAGATTCACTTCATGGAGTTACTGCTGAGAACTATTTTAGAAGATCCATAGTTTGTGTCTGAGTTTGCAAGTGTCTCGATTTTCGAGATGTACATTTGGGGGACTGCCTCTCCTCCTTCAGGTGTTTAAGTGGACTTTTCTTAGATGGAAGTTGTTTTGGAAAAATGAGCATTTTATGTAATTGGACTGCAGGGACATTTTATTCCTTTCCATTAGCAAAGCAGGAATGTCTAGCAAACACATGGCTTTTTCCTCCTTTATGGCAGGAATTCTGATTTTGGTTTCTGCATCTGGAGTGGGTTGCCAAAAAATGGACTAAAAATAGATGTTTGAGGGCTGACCAGGACAGCCCAGAGCTGGGTAGTCAGTGCTGATGGAAAGCTCTGTCCTCAGTGAGTCATGGTCAGTAGCCAGGGCCCTCCTGCCAGGAACTCCTGTGTCCCTCCTGAGCTCCATGTAACACGTGCCCCCTTCTGAAAACCACATGGGTGCAGGGCAGCTTCTCATGGAATGGAGACTCGCCCGAGGGCCAGAGGCTGGGACAGGGACCTGCTTCCTTGTACACTCTGGTGAGGCTATGCTTGCATCCTGCAGTAGAAGGGAACCTCGGGGCTGGACATGTGTCCAGTTTCCAGATAGGATCATTTCAACTTGGCCAGTGTTGGTTCAGTGAAGAGCATTGCACAGGAAGTAAACGAATGATGGTTTTATTGTTTGCCAGGAAAATGTCCGTCCTTCCTCCCCTCCCTGCTACCCCCCACCCCAACTCTAGTAAATATGGCTGCTTTTATTTTTATTATTTTAAATTTGATTTTTATCTCATATTGGAGATTTACAGTGTTATGTTACTTTTGGTGTACAGCAAAGTGATTTTTATACATATATATAAATCCATATAAGAGACATGGGTTTGATCCCTGGGTTGGGAAGATCCCCTGGAGTAGGAGATGGCAACCCACTCCATTATTCTTGCTGGAAAATCCCATGGACAGAGGAACCTGGCAGACTATGGTCCATAGGGTCGAAAAGAGTCAGACATGACTGAAGTGACTTAGCAAGCACATATCCCTCTGAATCTACTGTTTTATGTATAGTAGTGTGTATATGGGGCTTCCCAGGTGGCACTAGTGGTTAGAATCCATCTGCCAATGCAGGAGACACAAGAGATGCAGGTGTGATCTCCGGGTTGGGAAAAGCCCCTGGAGGAGGAAATGGTGACTCACTCCAGTATTCTTGCCTGGAGAATCACATGGACAGGGGGACCCTGGCAAGCTACAGTCCATAGGGTCACAAAGAGTCAGACATGACTGAAGCAACTTAGCATGCATGCACGGTATGTATATGTTAATCCAAAACTCCTAATTTATTCCTCCTAGCTTTCCTCTTTGGTAACCATAAGTTTGTTTTCTATGTCAGTGAGTCAGTTCATGTTTTGTAAAGAAGTTCATTTGTGTTATTTTTTTAGATTTCACATATAAGTGTTATCATAAGATGCTTGCCTTTCTCTGTCTGACTTTCTGTAAGCAGTTCTTTTTATTTTTTTCTCCTTTAAATATTTATTTATTTATTCATTTACTTGGCTGCACTGGGTCTTAGTTGTAGGTTACAGGATTTTCGTTGTGGTGTGCTGGGTCCCTAGCTGTGGCATCTGGGATCTAATTCCCTGACCAGGGCTCAAATCTGGGCCCCCTGAATTGGGAGGGTGAAGTCTTAGCCACTGGGCCACCAGGGAAGTCCCTCGGTAGTCACGTCTTTAAATACATTGCTGTGGATGAGTGAGTGCCTCCCTCCCCAAAGCCATACCAACTCCAGTTATGATGTCTTTTTTAATACTTAATAAATAGCTCATCATTGGTTTTGTTTTCATTTCTTTTATTATCATTGAACATGTTTAAAAATATTTATTTGCAATTTATAAGTCTTCCTCTGTGATTCATCTATCTATATCCTTTGTTCATTTTTCTATTGAGCTGTTATCTTTTACTCATTGTCTTTCAAAACTCCTCTGTGATGTATTCTTCAAATATATTCAAATATGTTTAAAGGTATATTCTTCAAAATAGACATAAAATCTGTGTGTGTCCCCAGGATATGTATCTATCCTACTTGGGGATAAGTGGTTCTGGTGACCAGCGATGCTGGCTCTGTTCACATTTGGAGCGAAGCTCATCTCTCTCACTGTTGAGAATTTGCAGGAATTGCCCAGTCCCGAGGGCAGAGGCCGTTGTGCCCCAGCTGCGGTGTTCTGCCCTAGAGGCTGGCCCCAGACTGTGTGATCTGTGTCCTTAGTAGACATCTTCTTATTGTTGTATCATCCTAATGAGATTGTCCTGGTTCATCATATCAGATAAACAAAGAGCAGTAAAGAAAAGAAAATTCCTAGGATACCACACTGATAATAATGTTTACTTTTGGTCGGGCCTAAGAGTGAATTTCATGGTCTGTAAACCACAAGGGTATGATCTGTGGTGGAGGAAAATGTATTATCTGAGTCCTGGGGAGTCCTAGGGGGCGAATCCAGGCATCCTATGGGGCTGATGGAGGACGATAGTTTTATGGTAATGTGGGATTGTATAAAATATGCATACTTTGGCCTAAAACTGTCCCTTGTTCCTCATCAGTTCCATTCACTGGCCCCCATGTACTATCGTGGATCTGCGGCAGCTGTCATAGTGTACGACATTACCAAGCAGGTAGGAACGCCCCCTTTAGAACTCTGGTGCCATTTATGGCCTCTCTCTGTTCTAGAAAGACCGAAGCAGGGACTTCACTGCCTGAGTCCTGCCTGGAGCCTGGGATGAGGTTGCACAGTATGGTGCAATGGTGGTTGCTGGGAATGAACGCTAAATGCTGAGTTTATCTTGTCTATATGCAGCAAGTGGAGGAGATGGGAACCCAAACAAGTATTCTTACCTGGAGAATCCCATGGACAGAAGAGCCTGGTGGGCCACAGTCCATAGGGTCGCAAAGAGTCAGACACGACTGAACAACTAAACAACAACAATATGTAGCGAAGCCTTTCAAATATATTTGCTAAATTAAAGAACAGTCATCATTTTTAAAATTGATTGTCTGTTCGTAGGGGTAAGGTCATGCCTGCTAATACTGTTCTCCAGAATGTTCAATTTTTTTAAGAAAAGGAAAAGTATTTTTCAGTTTTGCATCTTTGGTTATTGTTGTTGTTTAGTCACTAAGTTATGTCCAACTTTTTTGCAAAAAAAAAAAAGATATATACATATATGTTTTTGCTTTTCTGATAAATCATGAACAACATTGTTTCAGTCCTGTAGCTTCATCTTATTCTTGTTACGGCAAGGCTGTAATTTAAAATTAATGTTATTTGTAGAAGGAAATTACTAACATGATTATCTTAACTTCATCAAGTTTATGTTTTAGAAAAGGAACCTTTTACAGCCTATGTGAGTAAAACTTAGCTAATACTAAATTTTGTGCCAAGATTGGGGTAGTATGTTCATCTCTGTGTGTGTGCCCCCTGAAAATATTTTTCTTCAGTGGATTATATTGGGTTTGTATTTCTATGTGGTTGAGATATTACGTTGATGGGTCTTTCCCAAGGTTGACTACACTTTTGGTTTAGGATTCATTTCATACCTTGAAGAAATGGGTGAAAGAGCTGAAAGAACATGGTCCAGAAAACATCGTGATGGCCATCGCTGGGAACAAGTGCGATCTCTCAGACATCAGGTGAGAGGAATTTAAAAGATGTGTGTGGGGCTCATGTCTTCCACCTTGAATGTCTGTGCTTGAAACGCTGTCATACCCATGTAGTTAAGTCTGTTCTGTCATCATTTAACCCATGTCATCCATTTGTGGTCGTCAAGGTGTTATTTATTCAAGCAGAGTAGAATTGAGAGGAAATAATTGTGAAATGCAAATATGAGGGAGCACTCACTCTTGAATATTGCCATCAAGTCTCCTGTACAGAGCACAGTTACACTCCTGACTCTACATGTCTTTGGGCTAAATGGTTTCATTATTTTTTTAAATAAATAAATTAATTTATTTTACTTGGCCTCACCAAGAGGCTTGCAGGATCTTAGTTCCCCAACGAGGGACGGAACCTGGACCTAGCAGTGGAAGCTCGGGGTCCTAACCTGTGGTCCACCAGGGAATTCCCTTATTATTGTTTATTGTTACCTTTTCTGTCGTTTTTGTCATTATTACTACCATTACTGTTTTAGTAACATTTTCATATGGGAAGGAGTGTTAGAATTCTTCACATTTTCCATACCGTCCTGTTTGTTTTCTTTCTAGACTTTAATTTAAAGGATGTGGCCAGGTCAGTATGAGCTCACTGTTTTGTTCCAAGATCTGAATTTGGTGCCTCATGTGTGAACACTTTGGCTTCCCCCAGAGAGAGTAGAGTGTCTGCCCTGGCTATTTCTGGGCAGTCATTGTGAGTAAAGAACAGGTAGGAAAATAGGACCCTAAAGCGTGTGTATGTGTGTGTATACACATATGTTTTTTCTTTTCTGAAAAATCATGAACAACATTGTTTCAGTCCTGTAGCTTCATCTTACTCATATTAAGGCAAGGCTGTAGTTTAAAATTAACGTGATTTGGATATTGAACTTCTGCTGGAGCAAGGTTTGTAGGAGCCTAGACTACGTAGATGAGAGCTATGATGGTGGCTTTATCTAGCCTGATAAGCAAACTATTTTTATAAATAAAACTGAAATTAAAAAGGAAACGGTGAATTTGCATTGTCTCCCTCCCCTGGTTAATTTAATTCTCAGCAGTGCGAGTACTTGATTTTCATAAAGACCACGACCCACGTTTCAGGTTTTGCTAATCCAGACATGATGAAACCAAAGCGTGATGAATGATGAAAACAGACCTTGTGGAAACCCTGAAGGTAGTCTCTGCCAGGTTGCTCTGTTTCTTTGGGATTTCAAAAGCTTTATATCGCATTGCATCAGGTTGGTTTGTAATCACACCCGTAACCACCACTCAATTGTTTGTTTTTCAGGGTACAAATCTTTAAACTCTCTAGACTTAGTTTAGGTCTCTGCCTTCTTTATTGTAATCCTGAGACAGCCTGATATCTAGAATGCCCAGCCGAATGGCTTTCACTTCTGTTGTTGGAAGGAGGTGGGGTGGGCAGATGGAGGTGGGCTCTGCTGAGAGAAAGCCTCTGTTAGCCGACACCACGGATTGTGGTAAAGGTGTGACTTTCCGTGAACTAAGCCTTGAAGATCGTGGGAGAACTGATGGGTGACAGTTTAAGCAAAACATGATTTAAACGTGAATGAAATTAGGACTCTTGATTACAGAGAATTGAAACCCAATTGAAATTAATTTCAGCAAAGAGTGGAATTTGTTGCAAGGCACTCATGGCTCAGACGGTAAAGAATCCACCTGCAATGCAGGAGACTCGGATTCGAGTCGTGGGTCGGGAAAACCCCCTGGAGGAGGACAGGGCAACCAGATCCAGTATTCTTGTCTGGAGAATTCCGTGGACAGAAGAGCCTGGTGGGTTATAGTCCATGGGGTTGCAGACAGTTGGATATGACTAAGTGACTAACACTTTCAGTTTTCACTGGTATCCACATAGTGAAAAAACAGAGGTGCCTTTAGCTCTGGTATTTGGTTTGTTCCATTTTTGGTCTCTAGAAAGATCCTGGCCTGATGCTCTATCTGTTTCTAAATTGCCGTGGAAGGATTGCCCCACTTCATAACACAGCATTTGTGGCCGAGGAAGAGGATGTGATTGGGACGTGATTTACATGAATATAAAACTCTGGAAGACAGTTGGGCAATCTCTTTTAAAACCAAGCATGAAATCATTGTGTGTTTAGCAATCACACTCTTGGGGCATTTATCCCAGAGAAATGAAAATGTGGGTTCACAGAAAACCAGCATGTGAGTGTTCATAGAAGCCTTGTTAGTGGCAGAATCAGTCCGCCTGTCCTTGAGTGGACACAGCAGGCGAGTCACCCTGTGCAATACTTCTCAGCAATGTAAAGAAACAGAACAGATGCAAGCCACCTGGACGAACCTGCAGGGAAATACAGCTGAGCGAGTAAAGCCAGTACCAAGGGTTTCATGGTGTATGATTGGTGTATGATTCTACTTTATAATGTTTGGGGAGTGAAGCCATTTTTGAAACAGGGGGAGATTAGCAGTTATGGTCGGGATGATTGTGGGGGGTGGGGGGAGGAAGGGCCTCATGGACATCCTTGTGATGCTGGAACTGTCTCCTCTCTGTGGGCGGGGGGGACACGCAAACCACACGGGTGATAAAACTGTGTAGAGCTTAATTCATACAGAGGAGCACCAGTAAAACCAGGAGAATCTGAACGAGATGGAGTGTGGGTGTCAGGATTCTGCAAAATGGTGCCGTTTGGGAAAACAGAGCAACGTGTACAAGGACTCTCGGTATTATTTCTTGTAACTACGAGTGAATCCACAACTACTCTAGTAAAAGTTTCAATTCACCAAAAACTAGATTTAGATTTAAAAAAAATTAAATCTTAGGCAGTGGTGTGTGTGTGCATATGTATATGTGCACATACCTGCATATTATATATATTGTATATGATGAACTAAAGCTTTGTAAACACACTGAGCCAAAGAATGAATTTAACCACTCCCTGCCCCCCTCCATGCACACACATGCTGTACAGAAGAACAACAGTGGAACTATATAAAAACTCCCATTTAAGACAGCCTGGAGGGGGAAGCCTGGTGGACGGGTCCTTGCCCGAAGGATAAACTTTCTGCCTCTAGACAGAAATAGTCTGGTAAGTGATAGGCCTGTGAACCTAGCGGGCACCTGCTGTTGATTCCTGTCCACGGCAGCGGAGTCGAGTTCTTGGTCAGCCAGTCCAGCTGCTCCGGATTCCGCCTGCTGGTACGACTTTTCTGGGACATTAGCCAAGTATACACTCGAGACCTTATTTAGAGCTTGACCTTCTTTTACTTTAATCTGAATTACTTGGCTTCTTCTGTAATTGCCAGAGACTACAGTTTGGTTTTCACTAGGAATTGGAGAAGGAGCGTATATAGATTTGGGGTGTGTGTGTGTGTGTGTGTGTGTGTAGGGGGGACAGGCTCACCTAACAGACGAGAGTATATAGATTTGGGGTGTGTGTGTGTAGGGGGAGCCAGGCTCACCTAACAGATTTTGGTTGGTTGTGTAAGCCTTTTAATCCTTGTGCTGAGCTATGCCTGGCATAGTTTGAAAGTACCCTGGAATTGAATTGGGATTAACTTCCTGACTTGACTCAGCCCACTGGAGGCCCTGTGGGAAGTACATGGAAAGAGAAGAAAGTGTCTCCTTAGAGCTCTTTCCTTTGTTTGGGGAGCCAAGAGGCCCACACGGTGGGAGAGGGGGAAAGTGCCTAGTGAGCAATAAAAACTATGTTAATAAAGTTCCCTGTTCGGGTGCAGAAGGGCAGAGGGATTCGGGAACAGGAAAGCGCACAGTCACGGAGGTGATGGGGAAGGCCGTGGATACCACGTGTCGCACACTGGGCTGTTCAGGAGGAGCGGGTAGGAGGCGATGCCGGGAAGGGAGGACAGTGGACAGAGGCAGGCACAAGGGAGGGCCTTTGACGGGTGTCATGGGGGCCTGTGACAGGCCTGCGCTTGGGAATGGGGAGAAGACGGTGGGTGGTACGGGGACAGTCTGTAAACAGCTTACAAGTGTGTGGAGTGTTTGGGTTGATGCGCGTGGGGTCCTGCCTCCTGCTTGGGTCTCTCATACCCGGGGCTCCCTTGTCTATCAATCACGACTCTGTCTTCTCCTGAGCCTCTGTGGCCTCAGCTTCTCAACACAGAGCTTCGTGGAGTCACCAGTAACTAAAGCTGGGGAGCTTACCTGCCAGCCTCGGGGCAGGCATGGGGACCACTGAGGTTCCTGCAGTTCCCTGGGTAACAGCCAGACCGAGGGCCTGGGCTGAGGGCTGGATGGTGCAGGCTCGGCCCCCCGTGCATCTGCCCGAAACACACACCAGCCCCATCAGAAGTCACCAGGCACCAGTGCTTTCAAGTTTGGGGAGAAAGTCAAGGGCTGTAGCAGATGAGAAATATATTTGGAAATACATATTTTTGACTAAGAAAACACAAATTGCTTTCACTGCTTACATGTGACTTTAAAGCTCATTCCAGTCTTCACAGTGGGCCAAAAATGGTCTAAGTGTTTCTTTAAAATTATACAGACCAAATGATAGGACTTTAGATGTTGGGTGGTAAAAATCCAATTTATTCCAAATACCGAAAAGCACAAAAGCCAGTGAACCAGTACAAAACCCAGTACAGTAGTCAAAAACCGCTACTGTACAAGATGTGGAAATATGCCGCAAGTTTTAAAACCCAACCAGGGAATTCCCTGGCAGTCCATGAGTTAAGACTCTGAATTTTCACCACCCTGGGTTCAATCCCTGGTCGGGGAACTAAGATTCCGCAAGCCTCAAGGTGCAATACAAACAAACAAGTAAATGAGTGAATGAATCAACGGACCCAGCATTTTCCTTACGTGAGATAAGGAGGCGTAGAGTCTGCCCTGTTACAGCGTGTGCTGTGAGCCCTGAGATGCACGATTTTCTGTGCTGTGTGGGGGCCAAGCCTGCATCCCTCATCCAAGCAGGAGGAACTGATGATTGTCCTTCCCAGACAATGGTCTGGGATTGCTTTCCATTTCAGTTATAAAAGTACTTTAATGAAGAGACGGGAGGAGGGGGCGGCAGAGGAGGAGATGGTTGGATGGCATGACCAACCTGATGGACATGAGTTTGAACAAACTCCGGGAGATAGTGAAGGACGTGGAAGCCTGGCGTGCTGCAGTCCCTGGGGTTGCAGAATCTGACAGCACTTAGAGGCTGAACAACAGCAACAACTTAATGAAGAGTCTA